TATAAAGATATATTTCAAATTTTTTCTTTTTTTTTTTTTTGAACATGAAGATATATTTCAAATTAGAAGTTATAAGCATTAAAATTACATTTTAGCAGCAGTGAGGTTCGAACCTGCAACTCCCTATAATAAGGGACAAGGGACAACAACAAACCAATAGAACCACTGCATATGGTGTATTAAGTTATTACATAACATTATATTTATTCATATTCAATTGAACTAGTGGTTTTTTTATTTTATTTTTTTATTACACGATTAGGTTGGTTAAACTGGTTAAACTGAGAACCAAATGTCAAAATAGTTTGACCTCCGAATCGGTTTTCAGTCAACACAATCACAATTACAATTATAGTATTTTATAGCAATTTTAAACACACACGCATAGACAATATTAGATATAAAATAAGAAGATAAATTAGCTAGGGCGAGAGCATGAACTTAGAAAGACCAGATGTGTTGCTAGATTTATCACGCCGGGATATGAAGTGAGCAAAATATTCTGAAGAGGAAGTAGGCTTGTAAATTGGTGGATTTTCCTCAGATACAAGCTCCTCCAGTGGCCCATACAATTCATGCTGCATGGCAACTGCCGGAAAAAGGAAAAATGCTGATGATATCCTGGGACCGATGATTTTGGCCACCACTCTGTGCCTAGCAGCTTTGAACTTGCCATTTGTAATCAGCTATTAAAGAGTTAAGACATCACATACATCATCATTCAATTCATATTTATACAAATTAAAAAAAAAAAAAAAAGAAGTTGTAATCTATTCAAGGTTTTGATTAATTATTCTACAAATTGTTACCTGCATAAGGTCACCATAGTTTATAACTAGAGATCCAGGCACGCAAGGCAAATCCAGCCACTGATTTTGATGGAGAACCTGGAGTCCACCGGTATTGTCCTGCAGGAGTATCGTCAAAAAAGATGCATCTGTATGGCTGTTCGTACCTATAGTCAGCTCGGGTTCTGGACAAGCCGGATAATAATGGCACAATACATGAGCCGTTTTCATGCATTTTAGGCCTTCTAGGTAGTCACTCTTGAGCCCCAAAGCCTCAGATGTCAATTCTGACAGCGTCTCCTTTAGTTGGAACACATATTTGGTGTACTCACTTGTAGCCTCTCTGCACACAAAGCACATCAATATAAACAGAAATCCCAAAGTTTGGAAGTGTCCGTTAACAGAATTTGTAATTTTGGAACATATGTCGCTACGTCAAGGACTCCGAGTAAAATCCTAAGATTAACGAAAGAGAGAGAGTTTGGTAATATGATGACCTGCAAATTTGAGGAATGACTTCTTCATCTATCTTTCCATCTGGAAATTTATAGGACAAGGAATCCTTCCAGGTTGCCAGGGGTAAGTGGTTGAAATGGAACAGATTTACCTGTTGTGCCCTGCGGGCTTCTGAAAGCCAGTCCCTCTTTACCTCCAGGGGCTGTTCGTTGAACCGTCTAATGCCATCAAGCATTTTGTCCATAATTGGGATTGGAACTCCATGATTGACCAATTGGAAGATTCCCCATTTCTCAGACGCATCGCGAATTTGACTCACTATCTCCCCTCGGCGGCCAGTCTCAATCCCGTTGAGGTCAATTACAGGAACCTGGAATTGGATATCTTCCTCCACCGATGGCTGCGGTGATTGCTCCAGCGGACGGACAAAGAATCTTGGGAGCTTAGTCACTCCAGAGTCTACCAGGCCCTTAACTCCAACACCAGATTCCATGAACTCCTTTAATTCTTTC